GTTACGTTTATGATGTTAAAAGTAAGAATAATAAATTTCCATGATTTTCTTTTTCTAGTATGTACCGAGTTCAAATTTTGCGGTTTGTTTGCGTGTAATTTAAGTATTACAGAACTGCTGTTAATTCTCCTCTGAATTTCTCTGCTTCCTTGGTTTAATTTAATGTAATTACACGGCAACGTTGAAGTAATTGCACGTATTTGATGTTTAATTTGTCGAGCCATTTACGTATGTCAGGTTGTAAATTGCCTAAAATGGCATTTGGTATTCTGAATTTTTTTCCGCTGTTGCGTGTTCTCATTAAGATGGACTTGCGCTCTTTTCGAGGGGGTTGCTTTCAAACGCGGCGAGGCCTCTATGTCAGTGATGTGTTTGTTTTGACTGGTCGCTGTTGTGTGTTATTTTATCTATATTATTATTATTATTTAGTGTTCTGTCTGACGACAGGTCCATATGAACAGGATCCTTCCAACCTTTTCTCGGACTGGGACCTGTTCATATACGTTCTTGGCAGATGATCCAGAAGTGGTTTGCCATTGCCTTCTTCTGTGTGTGAATGGAGTAATTGTTGGGATGCCACGGAGGAAAACTCCGTGTTGCCTAGACCACGGCCTTGCCCAACACAAGTTATAAATTCGGGCACCGCCGGGAATCGAACCCGAGACCCCAGGATTACAAGGCCAGCGTTCTAACCGCTAGACCACCGTGGCGGGCATTTTTATCTATATATAAAACTAAAATGTGTTTTCAGATTCTCACCTCGATGCTTTCTCTCTTTCCCCAGAATTCCTTACTGGTGCGCTCGATCAAGTAACTGGGGTGACTTGCTGCCAATGACGGTGGAAGGTGGGAAGACGGAAGAATAAGATCGTGACGATACACCCAGTGGCGTTTACAAGTAAGTTCGTCGGCAGAGGACACAAGATAGGGATGGCGTGTTTACTGTTGGTTGATCGGCTGTTGTGTGTGAATGTGCAGGTAACCCTCGATTTGCGTCGGCTCAGAATAACGCCGCTTTTGAAAAAAGCAAGTCGAAAAGCGAAAAAAATTTATTTTACCCCGGTCGTCCAGCCCGTAGCCAGTCACTATAGCAACTGAGCTATCCCAGCTCCTAACTGATTATTATGAATGTATATGTGCAGGGAAATGGGTTCATTCTCAGTAATAGAGTTTTTGTTTTAAAAAATGCAATAAATACGGTGTTTAGTCACACTCAGCTCATTAAGACGGTTTAAATTACAATTGAGCCCGTACACTTGGAATTTAAATGCTGAAAGGTAAAGTGACATCACAGAAAATAGTCGGGAGATGTGAAACTTGGGTTATCGGACAAGACGTCAGTTTCTTTAAATCGGTAAATTACTGAAGAATCTGAAGATTTCTGTGTTCTGGGTTGTTGCGCCGTGTAGTCTGGTAGCTTCAGAGGTTTGTGCTGCCTCCGTCATCAAGGCAGCACTCTGATAATAGAGGCAGCAAGTGCCTCCGAAGCATCAGTAAGCTTCTACGATACCACACGGCGCAACAACACACAAGACGGCCGTCTTAACTGGCGTACTTTTCTCTCAAGAGTCGGGCATTTTCAGTTTGTACGCCGCGTAATTGCGTGTGGGTGAAGATCCTTCTCGGTAGGTTGGTACCCTGGTGACCAAATTTTGTGAAAATAATTAATAAGTCAGAAAATCGTTGATCTGCTTAGAGGAAATATTTCGACTTTCATCTCGAAAATTTCTTACACTTTTTTCAGAAGATCGGAATGGGCTTCATTTGAGTATCCTTCTGGTCGAGAAGTTAAGAAATAATAATTTCTGCTTCTCCACAACAAGTTTCCCGTCCACCTTGCCCTTTCAGCATCTCGCCTGTAAGAGTAGAGCAATCCATGACCAACGAAACATTAAGTTCCAAAAAAAAAAAAAATTGAGACGGTGGCAAGAACAAAGCGTTATGGGAAATTGGCGATTAGGGAAACTGTGGATGTCGGCAATCCTTAGAAACGCGACCGAGTCGCCTGCTCCTTCACCGAAACTAAAGATGTAAGACGTAAATAACTTCAGATGTGAAATATAATCAGTTTGTTCGTGTTTTATTTTAAACTGGGATTGCAAATCTGCGATTCTTTCAGAACTTCCGTTGCAGCGCAGTCCGCTAACGCAAAATCTGAATTTGATGTCATTTAATTTCACCAATTAACTGGCTCCATGGAGCAAAATCTTCTGAAGGAGATAATAATCATTCACGTACTTGAGAAATTTTCCCACCTTTTATGATCCCTGTCGTAGTCCGGTCCGCCGCACCCTCCCGTATTATTATTTCTGTAAGATCAATTTTGACGTTGACGTCTTCCAAGTGGCTTTTCCCATCAAATTCTCCTGCCAACTTTTCCTATGTGTTATCTCCGTCGTGTTACGTGCCCTGCCCAACTGAGGCTACTTGATTTGGATAGCGATGGGTACCTTCCGTCATCCCCCGCCCGCAGATACAGATTTTCTCAGGGGGGCTCAACGAGTTCGTCCCAAGACGTGACACGGATTTTTGCGAGACCGGTGAAATTATTCTTTGCATATTTGAGTCTCTTTGTTATTAGGTAGCGGATATTAAGGCGGAAGATTTTAATTGGGTGGTAATGATCATTCCACAAATTTAAATTTCTTTAATTTATTTAATAATTTCTTCTCGGGCTCGAGGTCGTTCTGATCATTTGGCGTCCTCAGTTTCTTAAGTACGAGGTTCCCTGTTATCCGCGCATCAAAATTTAAAGTACGCTCACTTAGATTCTTAAAAAATCATTCATGTCGAAACGAGTCTTCGAGTTACGGAAAAGTCCTACGAGACCCGTGGCTTATGGAAATGCCCTAAGAATTTTGTGTTCTGACGATTTGCGTCCACTGGTAAAAATTTACTTGTAAATATTCGCTCTGTGAACGACAAAGTTCAGAGGGCGGAGTGCCAGAAAAGAGAGACGGAGGAGCCACATTCCTAATTCCTCTGCTTAGATGAACTTTGTCCCTCGCTGTAAAATTTTAATTTTTGCTAGAAGACTGTGCGTCCGTGCTGGTTTGTTTTCTTGAGAGCCGATCGCTGGGGGGAGTCGTACGGGTTGGGCTCGTGCCTCGTCGGGCGTCCCGGTGGGGGACTGTAGTCTGGTTGTGGTATGGGCAGGGGGTCCGCCGGTACCACCGGAGTGCTTACGGGTCTTCCGATGCGAGGCAGCATCTTGTTGGACCGCAATGTGTCCGAAGCGAAGTGGGGAGAGTTGTCTTCCGGGAAGTCCCAAGGATTTCGCTGCTGATTGCCCACTGCCGGAGACTGGACGTCCCACGCGGATATCGGGTCCGGTTGGAATCCTGGGTTCTGCCTGGAAGAGAAATGGATTTCATCCGCTCAGGAGTTACGTTCTGAGCTGTGGGTGTTCCTGTCAGGTGCGGAAACACAACATTCACTTTTACCCCCTCGTCCTCGCGTATCTGTCGCTCATTTCACACTGGACATTAAACCCAGATCTGTTTCAATTTATTCTACCAAAATATATTTGTGCTGCAGCTAACAAAATTTTCTGTCGAGTAGATCAAGTTATTTTTCATTTCACGTTATGAAAAACCTAATTTTAGGGACACGGAGACCTGGGACGTTTATCTTGGGACTCGTAGGAACAGGCCATGCGGCCTAAACCCTAAATAGTTCCTGACGATGCTGAGAAAACCTAATTTCATACAACAAGAATTTGACTTACACCAGTAATTAATTAAGTAATTAATAAATACGCTTTGTGGCAAAATGCAGTTGGTGAGTGTTAGAGAATGTGTGACGTCAGCATCGAAAGTAAAAATTTGGTGAGGAGAAGTTTGCAGCCCTGGTTCTCAGCTTAAGTCGGTCTTCAGTTTCGCTGTTTCGTCCTTTGGTTCTGATTAGATTCTTCGACAGGTTGTGCCGTATAATGATATAATTTTCATTCAATGTACACCGTTGAGTCAGTATTTGTTTTATGTTGTTCCAATGAAATTGTTATCATTATAAGTAGCCCTCGATTTGCGCCGATTTTGAAACCAGAAAGTCAGAAAGTTAAAAAAATATATTTCACTATTATTTATAACGTTTTACAATATATCTCATAAATCGTAATTCTTACATCGTGAAATTTTGAAAGAAGAAATCACGACATGCCTTCTCTAAAAGACATGACGATCCTCAACCAGGGACTTCGTCTAAGAACTACGCCCCTTCATCACGCCATCGCCGATTGTAAGTGTATAAAATGTATAAAATCTAAAACTTCTTGACGATGGTGAAGAGTCAATTGAATAAAAATTTACTTGGATATTATCCATCGTCTAGTAATAAAACGTAAAAAACG